GCTGCCGAGTCTCCGGCTCTGTCGCGCCTTTAAAAACACGTGGGCGCTGCTGGACCCGGGCTCACTCGGGGCCCTGCCGCCTCTCGCTCCCGGGCCTCCACTGCGCGCCTGTCCAGGCTCAGCTGCAGACCCTGGGCTCGCCCATCCTCCTAGATCGCTTTCCCGGTTCCTCCCGTCACCCGCCGCCTAGCCCTCCCTCTGAAACCCACCCGCAGAGACATTTCCCGCGGGCGGAAGGGATTCCGGAGGAGAGGCGGCGGCTCAGGCACCAGAAAACGTGGAGTCCCAGAGAGACCTGGCCCGTCCAAGCAAAAGGCCTGTTAGCGTCTCCCACCTCCACTCACTCCTCTTCTCCCACTGCCCTTCCCCTGCACTCCCCGGGGCCTCGGGAGGGGGACCCAGAGTGGGGGTGCGTGCGGCGTGTCCAAGAACGGCCCAAATGTCCGGAGGCAGAAGTCCCTGGAGTGGTCATTTGCCTTCCCTTTATTCCAGACGTCAGGGAAACCCAACAGATCCTCCCGCTTCCCCCAGCTTTCCTACCCACGTTCCCCAGGCTCCTCTCCCGCCTCCATTCGGATTCCTCTATTCCGCAAGGCCGAGGCTCCCCCCAATTCCAGTCAACTCCTCTCCTCCCCACAGACCCCTCAATTTTTACCCCCCACCCCACACACACACCCGGCAGGCTCACACCACACCGCTCACACATGCTAGCAGAGCAGTTACTGAATTTCCCTCGCGGGGTCTAACCAAGTTGGGCAGAACATTGTTTAAAGATTAGAGAGGGCGTATTCTAATTTTTTAACGAACCAATCCCCCCCTCCCCCCCAGAGTCAGACTCTGGTATCTTGTCTTCCATATTTGCATAAAAGTAATTTTTGCAGAACCTAATGAGCGTCTGCAGGCAACAAGTTGTCCTGATATCCATTGCTCCCTCCCTCTCTGCCTTTCAACACATTTTCTTTTCCACCTCTCTTCCCCTCCCTTCTTTTCGCTTTTCCCTTCCTCCTCTTTTCTTCCCACAACCCATATGCTCTTTATTGAGAACTCGCTCACATGTTCTCCCCCCTCCCCCAGGGGCAGGGGCACCGCAGGGGCAAAACCAAGGCTGCTGCCTCGCAGCACATTTCGGCGGGGCGCCCAGATCCTCATCCAGTCCCTAAATCCGATCCCACTCGACTGACTTTCCAAAGAGGAGAACTTCGGCGCCAACGCTTTTGACAAATAACTGCGGGGGTCCTAGGATGACCGTAGCTGGCCTGGCCAGACGTTCGGATTTATACCCAAGCATTCTCCAACCCGGTCTCATCACCAATCCGGTGTCATCCGGTATCACTGCGTCCAGCCGAGGAGCGCGTGGTGAAGGACCTGGCGCTTTTATTTCCTCCGGTAAACACGGCAAAGCCTTTCCGCGGAACTGAGGGTTTCGTGCTGTTTGCGTCTGGAGAGTGATGCCTGCGACCTGGTGATGGGCCAGGCGGGTCCCTGCCAGTCGGAGCCCAGACTCCAGACGGGAGGGGGGGAAGGCCTAGGTGGCAGATGCCACCATCTACAAGGTCAGGCACGTTATTTTACACAGATCATCATTTCCCCGCAAGGCCTGTGTCCGGCTACAAATGATGTCAACTCTCAGAGGCTGGAGAAGACCATGGGCCATGACACGCCTGTGCTGGGCGTCCCACAATTGTGGGGGCTGCGTGCTGAAGGGTGACACGCAGCCCAAGCTGACGCCCCTCCCCCAGGATTGGCCTGTAGATGCGAGCAACCCACCCCACAGGGAAGGAGAACCTTCAAGTAAAGGAGGCAGGACCCCTGCATCCCCCACCAGGCTGGCGCAGGCAGCGGCCGTTTCACCTGCGGTGCCAATGAAAGTGGGGGCGGGGGAGTCCTGGCAAGTCACGTTCCTCCTTTTACAATCAAACGATGCTATTGTTGCCTTCATTTTGCACGTGCGCCGACAGCGGGGTGGGCAGCACCGCTTGTTCACAGAACCGGCCTAGGGACCCTCCTGGCTGCTTTCTGGGCGATGTGTCCGCGTGGAGAAGTGCTGCCTCCCAAACCCGGGCTCAGGGATGCGGGGTCAGGCGCTCGCCTGCCAAGCCCCACTACCGGGTCACCGGGGTGCCAAGTAGCGCCGGTATCGTGGCCAGATCGGGCTGGGGGACGCTGTGGCCCGCAGGCTCCGGGCAGGAGAAGGTGGAGGACCCCTCCCTGCTCTGGGCAGCCGGGGCCGGGGCCTTTGGCTCTGGAGAGACTTGGAAAGATGTAGGAGAGGCCCAGCCGTCAGAGGCCCGGCAGGAGGGACTGGAGTGGAGAACTGGGGATGTGCTCTTCGGAACAAACCTGGGGAGTCTGGAACCACCCTGCCCTCCGCGACCTGTTGCGCGGCGCAGTGCTCCGCTGGCTCTGGGGCCGGGTCTGGTGCGGCTGCGAATGGGCGCCACCGGCCGGGAAGCCCCAGCCGGCACCGCTGCCCCGGCCCTCCCGGGTCGGACCTCCAGGACGCCAACCTCAGGTCATCTGGACTCCTGAGGTCTTTGGAAGTGGCCCCGCCGCCGCACCGGCCCAGCTGCTGGGCCTCCGGGGTCTCCTGGCCGCTGTGGGGTGGGAAAGGGTCGAGCTAACCGTCTGGCTTCTATAACCTCAGAGCTAGGGCAGGGGAGAGGCGGAGAGGGAGACACCCCGGAGCTGCGCCCCCCCACACACACACCCTCGGGCCTATATTTGCACGTTTTTATAGCAAGTAGTGGTCGTTTATGGATGCGCGTGATCCAGACCCGCACTCGTGATCCAGATCCACCGTCAGTACCTCCATTCAAAGGTCCTCCCGGCTCTGCCTCTTCGGCGAAGAGGAGGCACGAAACCCACGAAACCCGGGAGGACGAGTCTGCAGTAAGCGCGCCCCTCACCGGCCCGCGGCTCCGCAGAGCGCAGGCTGTGGAGGAGGGAGGGCGCCGGTCAGCGCCGGGAGGGCCCCGGGATACGAGCCCTGGGCTCAAAAAAACCAGTGAGACTCGGCCCTGCACGATTTTTAACGCCCACCGCCGTCCCGGGTTCCTTTCAGCGCAATTTGAAGTTCCTATTGCCTCTTGAAATCCACTTTCGATACCTCCCTCCCCCAACAATTACCGCTGACCCCAGAAAGTGCTCGGTCTACCTCAGCCAACCTTTTGGAGACAGAAAACTGGGGAAAAGTCCAGCTCCCGAGAGGCAATCCCTGCGAAGGGGCTTAAGAAACAAGGACACAGACTTTGGTGGCCCCATGTGTGCACAAAGGAAAGGAGAAAGTTTTCCTCTTGACAAATTGAATCATTTTATATAAAACCAGGTTGAGCAGAGCTCCATTCTCAACAGCACCTCCTTTGTACTATGAATGCACATGGGGCGCTATCCCCCTTGGGTGGGTGTGGGGGTGCCCAGAATTTTTCGGATGCCTCCAGAGGCCTCTCTTAGCTGCTTCTAGGTCGACCAAGCCTTTTGACATTGGGCCCAGCCCAAAGCTGCCTGCTTTCCCACTTGTGAGTGAATTTTTAAAGGGCCAACTTGCAGACGATCAAGCAGCTATTCTTTGCACCCCCCTTCCCAAACTTGTCTTCTGAGTTTGCCTTAATTAAGGGGTTAGGAAGGGGTGTTGGGAGCCCGAGTTCACGTAAAATCTGTCAAAGGAGTTGGGGGAAGGGAGATCGGGGAGAGAGAGAGGGGTGGAGAACTCCAGTGCAGGAAAAATTCAAAAATCGTAAAAGGGAAAGGGGAAACTTGAAGCCCAGAAGTCATTGTTTCCTTTATTTCAAAGGGAAAAACCTGCCCGATTCTCATCCTTTTGATTGATTAAGGCCCTGAATACCTCGCAGTCTCAGAGTGACAGTCCCTGAATAGACTCGAGCGCATAAAGCGCAGTGCAGAGCCCGGGGCTGGCACTGGGGGTGTAAAGGAGGCGAGTTCGCTGGCACTTACCAAGTTATAAATAAAAGGCTATGCACAATGGTACCTTCTCTGAGGACAGACAGTCTTTACAACACTCCTGGCGTCATATCCTGCTGGGGACACTTCAGCTCCTAGCCAAGACTCCGCTCCTTTTATTTTTCCAGCAGTTTAGCCTGAATACCATAATAAATTCCTGAGAACAAACGCTGCAGCCGGGCAAAACCTGAACGTATAGACGCAGTTCTGCCTGCGTGTTGGGAATCTATACATTGAGATTTAGAGCTGGGCCTTTGCAGACCGGGTTTTTCAATCAAGAAGAGGAGACCCTTTTCTTCTCCTCCCCTCCCCAGCCGTAGGGTAGCAGTCCTGCGGCCTCCTCCCCACCTCTGCTGGGCTGCACAGTACCCCGCCCCCCCTCCCGGCGGAGAAGACAAAAGAACCGGTCAGCACAGCCTGGACTCCTCCTGGGAGAACCCCTGAACAAGCCTAGGCCAAGGGGCATTGACCAGAGGAAGGAAGGCCACACATGTCTGGGGGTTCCCAGTGCCTTCTTATGGAATTGAGCCCCCTCCAGTGGCAGCAAGCCAAGTAAAGTGTGTGTGTGTGTGTGTGTGTGTGTGTGTGAGAGAGAGAGAGAGAGAGAGAGAGAGAGAGCCCCACAGGCAGAAAACATAGACATACTCACCCAGAGAGAATTGAGTCAGAGACAGACACACAGAGATACTGAGAGTGACAAAGAGACAGAGAAATAGCCAAGGAGAGAAACACATAGAGTGACAGAGACAGAAAGAGAGGGACCCCTCCCTACTCTCAGCAGCTGTCACCTCCCTCAGGCGCTCTCTCCCAGTTTCTACGAGTCCATCCTTCTCTCCTGGGGAAGGGGCGCCGCGCGGGTCCCTTTGGGGCCGGCCGAGGTCTCGGCACCGCCGGGGATGGGAAGAGAAAGTGGCCGCTGTCGCCCAATCAGCGCGTGTCTCCGCCACCCGGGACGGTCTCCCCGTCGGCCAATCGCAGCTCAGGGCTCTTGACCAAGCTTTGGGTGAAAGAACTAATAAAGGCTCAAGAGCCTGGATCCCCGCACTCGCTGTCACGACAGGAAGAGACTCCGGCCGGCCGTGCTCCCGCCCCACCCCCTTCCCTGGCTCGTCGCTGCGCCCGAGACCCCTCCCCAGCGTCCCAGGCGCGGGGCCACTCGCCCAGATTCCCAGTAAACTTTCCCACCCTGGGCTCGAGATCCTGGACTCCGGGGCTTCCCGGCCTGGTTCCTCCACGAGCCTCTCCCTGGACTAGAAGCGAGCAGTCCCCCTCCCCACGGCCCTCCCTCGGTTTCCAGCCTCTTTGGGGAGGGGCTCTCCGCGCGCCGGGGGAGTTCCCGAGGGTGACCAGCGCCTCGCTCGCCTTCCTATCTCGCCTGTACCTGGATATCATTTCCAAACGAAGCTGTCCGCAGGATGACCACGCTGGCCGGAGCTGTGCCCAGGATGATGCGGCCGGGCCCGGGGCAGAACTATCCGCGCAGCGGGTTCCCGCTGGAAGGTAAGCGAGGGCCTCCGCAGCGCGCGGATCCGGGGCTGGGCCCGGGCTGCTCCCTCTACCCGGGTCTCCGCAGGCTCCTTAAGCGATCCAGGGACCCCCTTCCCTGGGCACCTCACCCCGGGACGGAACCGTTGGGGCGACATCGGCACCCGATTTCCTCTCTGTAAACCGAGCGCGGTTCTCTCCGAAAGCCCTTTCGGAGCTTGGCGGCCAGGCCTGCGCCAGGCGCGTCCACTTTGCCCGGCTGTTTTGGAAAAGCCTTGGTGCGGAGGGGATGAACGGGCTTCCGAGCACCAGAAAGCAACTTCTCCGTATTTTGTTCACTCAAAGGTGCTTCAAAATTGTCCTGGCGTTGCCCATATTTGCTCAGCTCTTGTCAAGTTCCGGGAAAATTGTCTTGCCTATGCACAGTTGTGGTGGCGAGGCCCTGCGACCTCCCTCGCGCTTGCGATGTTTAGTATTAATTATTTATTGAGTTTCACTCTCCTTCAGCGGCATCTTGAAGTTTCCATAAGCCGTTTTGGAAACTGACAAAGTCAGCTGGAAGGTTCTGGGAATTCCGGGGACACAGGAAGTTTTGCAAGCCCTAGTCCTTCTGACAGTTTGAGAGGTTGGGGCGCCCCAGCGGGGATGCGGGTCGGGTGGCTCCTACCTTCAGACCTCGGTCCAGAGTAGAATGTAACACCCAGGGCATGGCTGGAGGCAAGGGGGGCCTGCGAGCAGATTCGGTTTGTCCCTGTCCCCAGATGTAACAGGTGACACGCCTGCCACCTGCAGCCTCCTTTTGGGACCCTCTTTGATCCTTGGCTACTGCATTCTTAGCTGGAAATCCCAAAGGCTCTGAGCGCCTTCAAGTCCCTTGGGAAGGGAGCAGGCCTACTTGGACAGGGTTTAGTGTGAGCAGAGTCCAGAAGGCTGAAGCCGGGGTGAACTGTCTGCCAGGAGGCTGTTTCTTGAGCAAGATACACTTTGTGCCAGCCACAGGGTCACCCGGTTCCCCAGAGCTGCCACTTTACCTGGGCGGAAAGGGAAGATGGTTTCTCTGGGACAAGTTATTTGCCCTGGTTGTTCCTTCCACACAAGATTATGTGGCCCTGAATTGCTTAATAGTTTGAACAAACGTGATTGAAAAGGGACCTGGGGCTGGAAGCTGGATGGGAGCCGTTTCATTACCGAGACTGTAACATTCGGATTGGCCCAAAGAACGCGAAGTTAGAGGCACATCCTCCCGGTGGCTGCTCCCAATTCCCCTGAAATGACTTTCCCTTTGCCTCTCTTTTCACCTTCTGCCCCCAGTGTCCACCCCCCTCGGCCAGGGCAGAGTCAACCAGCTGGGCGGTGTGTTTATCAATGGCAGGCCGCTGCCCAACCATATCCGCCACAAGATCGTGGAGATGGCCCACCACGGGATCCGGCCCTGCGTCATCTCCCGCCAATTGCGTGTGTCCCACGGCTGCGTCTCTAAGATCCTGTGCAGGTACCAGGAGACGGGCTCCATCCGGCCGGGTGCCATTGGCGGCAGCAAGCCCAAGGTGAGCAGGCGCCGGCTCCGGAGGCCTCTGGGCCTGCGGTCTCCCGGTTAGGGAAGAGCAGGCTGGGGGCAAGGGGTGCCCTCTGGGACTTTCCAAGGAGAAGTTATTTTTCAAGTCTGGGGAGGGGTGTGTGTGTGCTGTATCAGGTGTGGGGGGACTTAGTTGCTACCTAAACCGAGATTCCTTGATAAACACTAGCAGCGGTTCTCAACCTGTGGGTCGCGACCCCTTTGGCGATCGAACGACCCTTTCACAGGGGTCGCCTAAGACTATCCTGCATATCAGATATTTACATTACGATTCATAACAGTAGCAACATTACAGTTATGAAGTAGCAACGCAAATAATTTTATGGTTGGGTCACAACATGAGGAACTGTATTTAAAGGGCCAGAAGGTTGAGAACCACTGCAAGGGAAAACGCCAGCCCTTGTGTAAAGAAAATATAGCATTTTTAAACGCCCTGAATCTCATAATTCCTCAACACATTATTTTGACAGGCAACCGCCAACTGCCCGTGTCCACTTGTTGCTGGTTTCTTCCTCAAGCATCTCCCCAGCTCCCACCCACTGCACTGCCCTTCCCAAAACTAATCTAAGGAGCCTCTGCTTTTTTCAGGGTTGCTTTCCCAGCTCCCGTCCCCAGTCTCTTCCAGTCCAAATTGTCTTCAAGGAGTCAAAAGCTGAGTGATGTGTTTTCATTGTAGTGAGCCCATGATTTGGCTTTTAAAAAGCAGTTTGGTGCTATCCTCAAATGAGTCTGGTTCCCTTTAAAAAAAGAAAAGAGAGAGAGTCTTACCGGCGAGGGCTGAGTGGGAGGGGGTTGCAACAGGGCTGCCTTTTGGATGTGAGGAAAACGCAACATAGTTTTCTAGTTGCCACAGGGCAACATCAAAAGGAGAGTTCTGGTAAACTTAAGACTTCTGAACACCCTCCTCTTCTCCTGCCTCCTCAGGGCCCCTTACAACCTTTCTAACAATCTCTGGAAATGCTTTTAATTGGAAAAAAAACCGAAGAGCCAGTTTCTCCAATTATGCCTACTTGTTATCCGCTCTAATTCTTGAAAACCTAGATACTCACCTTTTGCATTTCACTCTGCTCTTCACTTTAGCTAAAATCTGGCGCTCCTTTGGAGAGGCGAAAGTTGCGGGTCTGATTTGATTTCTCTGCTCCTCTTTCAAGCATTTCTTTTTGTTTAGTTTCATTTTCATGTTGATGTTGTATAAGGAATTGCCTTTCTGTATTTCCAGGGATCAGAAACGGCACACCTCTTTTTCATTTATCCTGATTGTCCGAGCTTAGCTGGGGAGGAGGAGGGTACCCGGGTTGCTTTGGGGTGGGATGACTTTCTGGCAGGCCCTCCCTAAGGGTCCGCTGCCTTAGAGAGCTGGGACCCCTCTGCTAACAAGGGGGCCCTGCCCAGGGGGCGCAGAGGACTGGGCCGCAACACCTGCCTGCCTGTTCTCTTAAAGCAGGTGACGACGCCTGACGTGGAGAAGAAAATTGAGGAATACAAGCGAGAGAACCCGGGCATGTTCAGCTGGGAAATCCGAGACAAATTACTCAAGGACGCGGTCTGTGACCGAAACACCGTGCCCTCAGGTACCAGTCCCGCTCGCGTACCCCTCCGGCGCCGTCGCCAGTCGCTCTTTCCCCCGGCGAGTCATTTAAGCTATAATCACCCCATGGTCGACCTGGGCCATTGGGAGGCGGCTCCTCCCTGGGGCCCTGAAATATTTAGGAACCACCGTTTTATGGAGGGAGCGGTGAGCCGCTGGTCCTGAGGTTGAGACCAACCCAGGGGGCTCCCCAAAGAGGATTTTTGTCCTGAAAACAGGGCAGGAAACGCGAGGCGGAGGCCAAGCATTTATTAATATTGATGTTCTCTTTTAAAGAGAAACAAATGTTTTGGTAACCCCCGTGGAAGGGAGATGGGGCCGGGCCGCGGAGGCTTCGCGGTGTGCGGGGAGGCGGGGAGCCTCCGCATCGG